TAAACTTACACGGGAATTTCGTTAACCCAAAATATCTGATTCTTTTGAAACTTTACAGGTTTGTAAGGGATCTCGATAGAAGTATCAGGCAATTTTTTCTTTTTGTTACCTTTTGGTTTTTTAGAGTGAAAACACCTCTTAAATGTTCAAGTGGGTTTACCTATTGTTCTTTCCATCTTTTAAAAACTATAGTCGATATAAAAAAATTATTACAATGAAAACATAGTGACTTTTTGTGCTCTATAAGACTCTCCAATGTAATTGTTAACCATTTTTTGTTTAAACAAATAAATAAACAAATGAACGAATTTTTAACAATTTCATACACAATTTTATAACGCATAAAAAGCCATTAAATATTCATCTTAATAATTTTTCTATATCCACTATTGTTTTCAAGATATAAAATAAAATACACATTAACATTTAAGGGGTGTTTTCACTTTAAAGATTTAGAAAGTACTAAAAATAAAAATTTCCTTAATAGTTCTGTGCAGGTTCTCTAGAAACCAGGCAGAATTTCTTAAAAATCAGAATTTACTGATCACCGAAGTTTCCTTGTCAGCGATTACTATTGTGTACGACATTATACCCTGTGATCCCGATTTTTCTCGGCAGATCGTGAATCCTCGAAGAAAAATGGTTTCGTCGCACTTGTGAAACGACATTTATTCGCGGCAACAGGTGTTCATTATGCGACACCTAGCCGTGGCTCCATTTACGCTTCCGTGTGCCCCCCCCCCCCCTGACGTGTGTCTCGCGCGAGTTCGCATTCCGCGCGGATCAAATAGTTTCCATTTCACTAGCTAGATTCGGTGTACCATTCCAGGGTGACTTTCACGCAAAGAAATCATTCTGGTCACATAGCGTGGCGCGCCTCGCTAGAAATTCCATAATGACCTACTACTACTGAGACCGCCGAGGGAAATCTTGGCACGCTCGAATCTTTTGTCCGATCGTGCGTCAGACTCCTGGAGAAAAGAGAGAAAGAATAAAAACACACGGAGACGTCAAGCAATTTCTTTTAGAGTCGCGCCATCCCGAATACATAGTTGGTCTTGCTGCAGATTTTGTGGCCATTGATGATAATTCCTCTGATGGGAATTTAATTTCAAGAAGACACTCTTTGTAAGTGTTATGATTTTGTTCCTCACGTATGAAGTATTTAAGAGAAATGTTTTCTATTTACAGTAGGTAAAAAAGTATTCGTACAGCCTTTAAAACAGAACAACTCTTTCAAAATTGGACCAAGTGAGTTGAGTTTATTTGTGAACTTAGAAGGATTAGTGTACTAAATGATGCGTTAACAAAGTGTTGAAAAAGTTGCAACTGGTCGGAAGCGCGAAGAAAATAGAGAAGGTCACTTTTTGGGACTTTCTTATCTGAGATTGTAATGAAAATTTTATCAAATACATTGCTTAGATTTATGTTAGTTATATGCATGCTGAAAATTTCATCGAAATTGGTTAACGTTGTCTAAATCTAACAATTTTTATATCTTTTGATGCTTGTCGCTGGTTTCTGTATCAACCGATTTCAATAAAAGTTGCACCAAGTTAAAGTTGCACCAAGTTAAAGTTGCAGCAAAAAATGTCAATTACTGACATAAATCTTCACACAAAACAGTTGTAAGAAACGGCATTTACTATTTTCTTCGACATTCTGAAACGTCGCAAATTTTTCAAAATTTTTTAACACATCATCCAGTAAATTAATCCTTCTACCTTCAAAAAGAAACTAAAGTCACTTGGTCCAATTTTTAAAGAGTTGTTCTGTTTTAAAGGGTGTACGAATACTTTTTTTACACATTGTAGATAAAACAAAATACGCATAGTGTACAAACTACAGTCTTATTCGCCTACAAAACATGTAAGATACAATTTTTTCTATTACCGTAAAGAAATATGCAACGAATAAACAATCGATGAAAGTGTAAAGAATGTTTTGTTTGTTTTATTTACCTATAAAGCAGTTTAGAAATTTTCCTCATCGACGAGTAGGATGCTTAATTAATTTTGACCGAGAACACATGATTGAAGAGCTACATACCGGTGGAAATGAACCGTTCATTTGCCAAGATGATTAACTCCATAGAAATATAAAAATATGAAAAGTTGAGCATCAGTCAAATGCTTTGGTACAAAAATTTGCAAAGATCCAAAAAGTCACTTTGACCTATGAACAGCTAATAAAATATAGGAATGTTTCATTTATCGTGATTCGTACTGAAAGCATTATTTATGTCGACCATAAATATTCAATCTATAAAACGTTCTCGGAAAAACTTGCGGCTGTTAATATACAGGATGGTTTATTTATCTGATTCACATGCACAAAGAAGTGTTCATATTAATATGCAGGATTTTTTATTCCTCCTGACCGTCGAGAAAACATATGAAAGAACAAGTTACTAATATTGTTGGATATTTTATCTACCTTCTCATCACAAAGTACGTCACAAAAACATTATAGAAAGTAACATAAATATATTACTATTGCACCGACTATTTATATTATAAAGAGAATCTCCAAATGAAGTTACATCCCGAAGACATTCATACATCAAAATGCTATTCTTTGATATTTCTTTTCAAAACACGGAATTGTTTCCATATAGCAATAATGATGACTTTCGATCATTTAAGCGAGAATTCAATGCCATTTATTTACCAAGACTCGTTCAAGAAATTCGTTGTCAAGACTTTTTTAATCAGAGCCAAGATAAATGAAGTAGTTTGTACGATTTGTCAGCTGTTATTCACAGTGTCTCCGTAATTATTCCCGAGGACAGTTGCCCGGGGATGAATGTGATTCTGTGCTTTTTATACGATGAAAAATCGACGAACAGAATTTTTGCAGTGACCCAATATGTATTTATCAACGGGGCAGAATTTTTGCAGTAACCCAATATGTATTTATCAACGGGGCAGAATTTTTGCAGTAACCCAATATGTATTTATCAACGGGGCAGAATTTTTGCAGTAACCCAATATGTATTTATCAACGGGGCAGAATTTTTGCAGTAACCCAATATGTATTTATCAACGGACGTACCGCGACGAATGAATTCGCTGCGCGAAGATTGACCACCTTGTACGCTCGCTTGCGCGCTCGCGAGCGCGCGCACGGTTCGAAACGAGTTCGTAGACCAGGAAACAGCCTCGCGGTTAATGTAGCCATTAGTTATTTCCAATCGTCAACGTTCCGACGATGGACTTTGTAACGGAATTTCTCGAGTATCTCGTTTCGCGTCTGTCGTTTTCTTTCACGTGCCTAGGAAACGGCGTGAACGGTTTCATAAGTATCGGCCCGACTACTTTCTCCCGGGGGCTCTCCCCTAACTGCCTTTTGTTACATTACATCGAAATCGGATGCGGAGTGGTGCGAAGCATGGGTAATCGAACATATACGGCTTTCTACTTAAACAACCGCAAACAAACATGGGAAGCTAGAATTTGAAAAAAAAAAAAAAACCAGAGATACCGATAATCCTTAGATAATGCTGCGGTTAGGTGTCGACGAAGTGTCGTGTGGTGGGACATTATGTTATTTCGCCGTCGATGTTTATAGTGCATTTACATGTTTAAAGATTATTTCATGGAAATTAGAAATGGAGAAAAATTTACTTCTGACAATAAAATATAAATGTAAATAGAGATGTTTCAATATTTGTTAACATTTCTAATTTCTCGTGTTTTTTTGTGTTTCCATATGCATTACAACAGTTAACACATGTATACCATTTTATTTTGATAGCTATCGGGAAATTAACGTTTTATCAAAAATATATTTGACTTATTAACAACTACTATTTATTAAATAGCAAATTTATTACTAATTTTTTGTGTTTTTTTGGCGTTTTTTGGTGAACCACACTAACCACGTTGGAGCAAATTCATACTACATATAAGAAGGTGAACTACCCTCTTTAAGTTCTATTTTTACTAAATGCAAGGTTATTACCAAGATAATTATTGTGAGCATGGTCTCGCTCAAAAGGTGAATATAGTAAATTATATATATTATGTCTACTCCTTCAGTCTGCGCAGTAGTATTAAAACATAAAGACACCAATCATACATTTATTAAAGCAGTATTACGATAATATAAATTCTTCCTCCTACTAACGAAAAAACAGGACATTAATATGTAGAATAATTTTCGTAAAATAATCAATGAAATAGAAATTAATATTTAAATTGTATTAGAATAATACAAAGTCTTTCTTATATTTATAAAAAAAACAGGATATTAACCTTCATCTAGATAGAAAAGCCTCTGAGGCCTTTTTATTATTTTATAATGAATAATATAATAATATATACAAATAGTAATATATATAATAAATGACTACAAATTTAATGTCACTATTTTACTAACTAAATAAATTCAATTAAAAGAAGTAAAATATTTAAAAATTATTAATTTAAGCTATTATGTACTGAGAGCCTTTGAGGCTTCTCTCCATTCTATTCTGATGAAGGTTAACATGTAGTCTAAGTTTTATAAAATCTTCAGTTAAATAGAAACTGCGGTTTTAATTGGTAAACAAGGAAACTAAATTCAATATTAACATTACTTATACTTTCAGTTTCATTATTCAATTGCACAGAAATCCTACAAAATGCACAGTCTAACAATGATACACAACAATCGTTCAGACGAAACATCACAGTCCAGAAAACATTAAAAACACACCATACAATTTATTCATAAGTAAATTACGAACTTTATGCATTTATAGCGTACCCAATTCTCCGAAACGTACCATATTAAAAAGTTTAATAGATTTTAGTAGAGTTTTAATTTTATGTGAAACTTGATAGAGCCTTTAATATACAGTAAAAAAATGTGTCTTTGTTTCTAGTCTCTGCCCATAAATCTTTAATGATCAATATTTACATAAAAATCCGTGGTCTATTCATCAGCCAAACTGATCACACACAACAACGATCATACAAAATAACGAATGACAAGCTGTACGATAAGGTACTACTCACGTTAACCATCCGTGGTTGATTTTCCGTCGGTTTTATCCAAGCAGAGGCACCACAGTTCGCGGAGGTCCTCTTCGAGATCCTCCCTCAAGGTCGCCGCAACTCCTCTCACTTTATCACTCGCTTTGGAAGAAAGGATTATTCGGTCCGTTTACGCACACACACTGGCTACGTCTACACTTGCACTCTCGACGCGTACACGCAGGTGGTATATCCCGCGAAGTCCATGAAAAGGAGGTGAAGAAAAATAAGAAAAAAAAAAAAGGAACCCCTTGAAAACCGGTCAAAGGCCGCCGGTGAAACTCGTGCGCGCCGAGACACGCGATTCGAGCATGTCGCAGGCCCCGCAAACGCGCAACCTTCTTCTACCACAGAGGCTACAACCGACCGATCGAATGACTGACTGACTGCGCGCTGACTACCAGCCGTGAACTGCCAGTCGCGGATCCAGAGCCGATCACTACCATCCTCGCTGGCCTTCCTCCTCTTTCTCTGGCCGTCGTGTTACTGTGGGCCATCCTCTCTCTTTTCCCTCTCCCCCACACCGACTCAATCCTCGGTCAGAGCGCGCGGTCGCTTTGTTCTCTTGATGGAACTTTGTTTATTTAGCATTGCTAAAATTTAGGTGAAGACAATGTATTCGATGGAAAAATTCGTTACATGAATCGTATTTTGGTAGTTATTCTGTATGTCGATTTCTGTTGATTATATTGGGTGTACCAATAAATAATCCACTATGGTCTTAATTTTGTATTATTTAGTACTAATTAATAATGATACATTGTTTAATATTGCTGAAATTTAGGTCAAGAGAATTTATTCGATGTGAAGAATTGTTAGAAGAACTGTATTTTAGAACTTATCCTGCATGTCGACCTCTGTAGGTTATACCAAGTGTACCAATTATGTAAAATAATTTATTATTAATTTTTCCCTGCCGATTACAAAATGGGGTTTGGGTTATGAAAGAAGATTTTCCATTCATTCATCCATACCTTTGTCTCATTCAAGCTTACATTTAACCCTCCTCGGGTCTATATGACTCAAAATGGAGACTATATCTCAATAAGTATTATGTTTGTAAATATTTGTTTTTAATATCCAAGATATAGTTGTTTCAAAGATATAGCGTTAGCCATAAAGCTGAACGACCTTAAATTTTATGCGTTTCGGTGATCTAATTCTGTCATTCGATACCTTTGAGTTGTAAAATTTTGTCTTTATGAATAACTTCATAAAATATAAATTTACATAAAAATATACAGTCTACTAATAATATTCGAAATTTTAGTATTTACAATAATTTAGTAACTAATTTTAGTGGTTGGGGTCGTGATAAAATACGTTTGCTGAAATTTTTGCTGGTTACGATTCAAGATTTGGACCCTGATGTGGCCACTTGTTATATGGATTGTTGTTCTGTTATTAATTGTGATTGATTGTAAATCTTACTTGTTCTGAAATTGAAGATCTTCTTTCGTCGATACAGGCTGATTTTGTCCCAGTGACGCTAGGCGTCATTGTATTTTTTGTCCAAATGTGCGAAATAATCACTCGAACATGTGTAATAATATTATTTTATGATTCTATTATTTGTACAGTTTCATTATTTTACTCTGAAATGTGAACGTTAGTTTGTAAAAGTCATACAATAGTTACAGCTATTTTGTTACAATTACAGTTTTTCTCAAGTGTGATAAATGATATGTGAGAACATGCCTACAAAATCCTTTGCGTAATTCCAATTTTAAAACTGCGTACAATGAACCTTATGGAATATACCTTAGTGGAAGAGGGGCACATGACACAACACTATAAATTTAGACGACAACTACTTTCAGTAAAAATAATGTTAGACCTTGTTGATGGTACAAAAAACTAGCAATTATTTTCTGAGGTTTAAGGTCCCTGGTTACTGGTGACCACCGTGGTAGTCAACATATTAAGAGCACATGCAAGTGAAAATCTTTCAAAATTCGAAGTACTCTTATTGTCTAAACAAAAGGATACAAATACTCTTTTTACCTAATTTTTATGGTCACATTTCTCGAAGTTTACATTCCTTCTATCCTCATTTATTTAACACGGTAGCATCGAATTGTGAATGAAAAGAATAAAGGGCCAGAATTTGCCCATACTCGATTCGTTGTCGGTTACTTTTTATTTAAACAAAAGTTTTGCCCAATCTCTGGTGGACCGTGTATAAGCGAGAAGAGTAGGGAAACGGGAGCGATCGAGGAACGATGTTGGAAAAAGAAAGCAAAAGGGAACCCGTGGCTGAAAGAAGAGAAAATGTGGACCGTAGCCCGGAGCTATGGCCTGTTCTGGTGAAAGCCCATGCACGTTGACTTTGCTCGAAAAGTTCGTTCCGGCGTTATGCCAGAAACAGTTCCCTACCAGGCAACAGCTGATTTCTACTGGGAACTTGTCTTCTGATCTTATTAACTATCTGTCTCTTGTATACGGATTACTCACGAATGACCGGACTTTTGGAATTTATTTATAGCATAACACAATCGTGTAAACAGTTTAATGAACTTAAAGGACATTTTTGTTGTTTTCAATAATGTGAACAAAAGAATAATTCTGTTTGATTTTAGTTGCAGTAAATTAGTTCTTGGAGTTTTAAATATGTGCCTAAATGACCACAGTGTAAATATTTTCGAAGTAAATTTTTATCCTTTTGCTGTTAAAGATGCTTCTACTTTTTATTACTGGACTGCGTGATTTCACACATTTTTAACGTATTCAGGAATGTAAAATACAATGAATGACATTTAATTATTATTAGTCTTAGATTTTGAATCTTCAAAGACGTGAAGTTGCATAAGAATCTGCAGTATATTTCTGATATACTTTATGTGATTAATCAGACAGATGGAATGAAAAAGTTTGATATAAGAAAACTATGTCACTGTGAAGTGGAATATCGTATTGTGCCATGGGCAATGCGCTGACAGTGTGACAAGAGAAAATACTGACGGTTGAGAACAATGTTGGCAATTATTGTGGAGTAAGAACAATGAAACAGACTTACTGCTATATGTTCTTCTTCCTGAATGTTGGTATAAGTAGAATACATTGTAATGTAATGTCGAATTACATGTGGCTTCAACGTACTTTGAATTATAAAAGTACAGAGTGGCGCTACCTTACAGCTTTCTAGAATACCTCATCAGACAAATAGATCTAAATTTCTGAATTTCATTTCCGATGGAACTAATTCTCTTACATATTACATATCCACATATGTATGTACATATATAATATTTACATAATGAATACTGCAGAAATCTATTCTCTAGTGTTGCTACGTACCATGCGATGGTATTATCAAATGTTCATCATCGACTGAGCAGAGTACCATTAACGATTTATATCTAAAAAAATTGCTCCTGATTTGCTCCTTCCGAATCTGAAATTGCTTCCACAGCACCGTTTATATTTAATGAGATATTCGCAAAAGAAAAAGCAAAAACTTGTTGTTTACAAACTAGGTAGTAAATGGCCTTTTTCCACAAATATTATGGCACCAAAAAATTGCTCCTGATTTGTTTTATAGTAATCAATAGTCAGATATCTCAATAACAACTTATTAACGACGAGTGAACAAAATATTGTTGTTGCATAGAGGTTAGGTATTACGTCATATCGTAGGCGCTCTAGTGACGTCATCTAGCGAAGAACAGGCGAACTACATATGTGCCCGCCAAAAATTAGCGAAATGAACACGTGATGAGTAATAAAGATCTTTTAGATTTTAGTAAAAGTGTTATGTATTCCACAAACATGTGAATTCCATTTACTGGTCAAACTGAGGTACGAAACTGTCTCGTATATCTTGTAAACGTAAAATGTAATTATATTACACTGTCAAGGAGATTGTTTCCGATTTGCAACTTTGTTACACGTGTCGCCCTATGACTGTACAGTTGAGATGTTCTCGATTTATCACGTTGTTCATTTTGTTAAAATTTTAAGAAACCAATTCTCTTTAAAATTGCACGAAAATTCAGGACAATAGAGTTCTCTGTTAGCAATTTTGTTACATTTCCCATCAGAAGCTTACTATTTATTCCGTTTTCGAGAACATCGCTTGGTATATGTTCTATTTACCTCTACAGCTAGTTGAAATATTCCAGCTGTCATCAATTCCAATGTTATTCCAAATTTCAAGGTCTTATATTACTAATTAATCTTTCGTAAAAATGACCGTATCTTTACGAAATATTCAAAGTTATTTTTGTTTCAAAGTCACTTATGGAAACATCCGCACCCCTCTATGGTTGAACATGTGTTCAGAAAAACATCGTATTCAAAACTTTGACAAATGGGCAATAAAAATACCACTAGGCATTGTACATCAATGCTTTCCATCCAAAACGAATTGAAATAACAAATTTTCGAAGATAGCCTGGGATATGTACACGGTTGAATTCATTCATTAGTCGTAGGGTACATTGGAATGTAAGTTTTCGAAAAGTGGTCAAAGAAAGGCACGAAACATATGGCTCTGATTATAACCATCGGAGTGCTGCAAAATGAAATTTCTGAGAAATCGTCAGTGCTCGTTGAGCTAACTGCAGGTATACGCAAAAAAAAAAAAGATTGTACCGGCGTGTAATATGGTACTGAATATTCTATTTCCTTAAACTAGAAATTGAAGTGGGGCGAGGAGGACAGCTACACCCACCCATCGAACCACCAATAACGATGTCCCTAAGATAACCGAATCAACCCATCGCGAGCAGTCAAAGACGGCCTAAGGGTCATTCGTCTTTCCCAAGTTGAAGTGACAAGACGTGAAGTGAATTCGCTCCCATCGAAGTGTACGTGATCTTTACTTTTCACATCTAATCATTTATACAAACTATTAGTGCCTTCGTTAGTTCTTTATCGTTATTTTCGTTTAATATGTATTCAATTTCGAGTAAATTATCGTAAATTAATTCGATATTACGGGACAAAGTGATCGGTTTTCACGACTTTCTTTGTCTACGCTGTAGTATTTACGCATTTCTGATTCCATTTACAATCTTTT